GAAGCTCTCTGACTAACGAACGAGAGAGCATTGTAAAATAAAACAATGTCATATCCTACCCAATGTTCATCCCGGCCTCCTCCCTCATGTTAGACCTCTCATTTGTTCAGATGTGAAAATAATTTTTACCATTGTAAATTACGGAAATAGTCTCTTTCATGGTCAATTCTCCTCTTCTTTCTTCTCTTCTCATTTGTATGCTAGCAACTGTTGTTGGTTGGCTGTTGCTTCTTTTTGTTTTTAGTCTTTATTTTCATGATGTCACTTTTGTCCATGCGTATTCAGGATTTTGTTCTCTGCATTTCAACCATTGCAGTAGTGAGCACAGTTGCACAGACTCCAACTGGGGTCTGTTTTAAGCACTACGCACCACATTCTTCCTTGTGCTTAAGTCAAAAAAGGCATGTGGCAGTGTGCATTTCTGGCTGCGCAAATTCTCAGCTCCACTCAAATTTGTCACTTCCGCACACTCATGACAGATAATCGCTTTGGATGGAGCAAACGTAAAAGGTTGCCATTCTCTGCCTAATCTGGTCCTGTGTGCATGCTTAAAGCATTCCCCACTGGACTTTAATACTTTGTCTCTAATGTGCTGTTGAGGCTGTTGTACGACCCGTGCACAGTGAAGGTGAAACATCGTTTTGCATTGTACGTTTAGAGTCAGTTCACTCCCCTGGTGACGTCTGATTCTTATTTTCATATGTAAAGTGTTTGATAGCATTCAAATGGATTTTAACGACATTCAAAAGTCTCTGAAAAATTCCCTGCCCCATGATTTCATGCCAGCCTCAGATGTCAATGAATTATTCCTCTTAGTGCTGCACACAATTTCCCAAGTTACACAAGCAAGGTGTATCAAAAAGTATGGATGCGAGAATGAAAAATGTGCAAGCCCAGGCGCATTAAAAAGGACGTATGCATAGAATGGGAGAATATAGCCCTAAGGGAGCATTTTAAGGAATTTGATTCCTTGCTCAATGGTACCGTATCCTCAGGACGAGCCAGGTCCCCAAGTGGCAGGCACCGTTCTCACCCTCTCCGCTCCCCTACCAAATTTTTCATGGAACAAGTTGGCATCTCACAAGATGCCATTCATAGATGCTATGAGACATAGGATGTCCATTTTTTTTTTTTCTCCAAAATTTGCTATTTGCCTGCACATCTGCTCAGCATTTGTAGGCTGGATCACAAGGTGACAGTCATGGTTTGGGAGCAGATGTTTTTCTTTAGTTCTGATTTGTACCAACCTTTTCACTGCCATTGAGATGACGGTCTCTTGGTATACAGCATGACAGTTGCTGTCCTGCCAATAATTAGTTTTACTTTCACCCACTGGGCTAACCAAGCTCATTTTAATCTTTTTAAGATGGCCACATAAGAGTTGCAAGGAAAAAAAAACAACTGTGAACCCTCTGTAATTTTTTGAATTTCCGCATGTATTGACCCTACAATATGATCTGAACGCTATGCTATTCACAGCAATAGACAAACAGTATGCTTTAGGGTTGTGCGATGTGGACAAAATGTTAAATGACCAGGTTTACTTGACTGATGTCTCAGTCTGAGCACTTGGATCATCATGTAAAAGGAGTATGTAGATAAGAGATGCGGATAAGAAACAAAAAAGCTGTACGTAGATGTTATTTTCGCTCTGTGTGCTAACTGTAGGTAAGGTTAACAAAAAGAAATAAATGCTTCTTAAGAATACCACACCGATCATTCGGAACAGGTGCCCCCAGCCAGCGATGGTCGGCTCTTGTTCGTGAATTATAAGACACACTGATCGTCAACACCTTCTAACACGCCTCACGGTGCAGCTCCACTCCAACTGGCGCAGCCGGTCTCTCCACAGCGCGTGGTGGACACTATCTGTTTGCCAAATGCATATTACTAAGCAGAGGTAAAGACATGATAGGATTCCCTCAGTAGCGGCGAGGGAAGCCTAAAATCGAAGACATGGCAGTACAATATCCTTAATTTTATCGCACAAGAAAAAAATAAATAAACATTGCTTCAGGTTTGAACTATTTGTGTGGACAGGTGAAAGCAAATTGTGTGGAAGGAAAACAGTAAGAGAGACAAAAAAGGCACAGCATTCAACTATCAGAGCCAATGTATGTAGAAATCCAGGTCATTGCAAAGGGTTCACATTTTTATTTTATTTTTAATATATTTTTTCTTTGCAAAAGTATGTCACTTTGAGTCGTCACCCAAATGCACCAATGACCAAGACATCAGTGTACAGTGTTTATTATTTTACTTTATGTTAACTGTTTTGTTCAGCGCTTTGTTACAGCTGCAGCTGTTGTGAAAGCGCAATATGAATCAGGATGTATTGTATTGTAGATGCTTACTTCAATCTGATATATTTTAACAGCATATTATAATCCTATTTCTGTATGTTGGATGCTGTGTACATTCTGCTGTGTGCACTATATATTTGTCCCCAGCTTATTTTGTCTAGGCTGGAAGCAGGCCAGGAGGTCTGGTGTTGAGTGAGGACTGGCCATATAGATATGGCACAGAAAAGATATGGCGACAATCCATACACCCTTACAAAGGTGAATGCCATCGTATAGGTTGGTATGTTGTTTTTGTTTAAAAGGGGGACAGTTAATTGTAGGAAGTTGCTTTAAAAATACAAAAACAAAAAAAACTGCCTTCTGTAAAGTTGGAAATAACATCCAACCAAGAGTCACCAGTAGTTTTTGTTAAAATGGTTGTTGTTATTTGTTGGCCTACTGGTGCTCTGTATCCAGCTTTAGACCAACATGTATCGAAAGGCCTCACATTGTGTGTTTTGCCTTTGCTGCAATGAATGACAGCAAGTAGTCAACTAGGTCAGACCCTTAGAGTACCCAAACATCGTTATCTGATTTGTGGTAATTCAATTAATTTACATTCAACCGCATTAACTTATTCAATCAATGCCTGGAAATTGAAAAGCAAAAATCTCATTATAGATTGAAACGATAAGCAATGAAGAGGAGGCTTGTTATTGTGTTAATTTTGTCTTGAAAGACAAATTTTTGTTTTTGACTGTTGGGACTCAACAATCGATGAAAGCCACAGTCTAGTTCACCAAAGGTATAAATACTCCAGAATGGAGGCTGTCAGGACCTGAACACCTTTTCCAACATCAACATTCACAGGACATGGAACTCTACTGCAATGACTATGAAACGCTCACCACCTTTGATGATGATCGTAGAGAAAAATGGAAGGAAATGTGTCTGAAAGGAAGCAACCCACGAGTGACGTGTTCTCCAAATGAAGGGGAAAAAGCAGTTTATTTACAGCAGTGCCTACACAAGGTACATGCAAGGAAGCAGAAAAAGCAAATGAGCAATGTTAAAAGGCTGCATTTCAAATGTCTTTTTTCTTTTCTCTCTATCACTCTTTTAAGCTCATGTTGAAGGCCTAGCGCGTTCATAAAAAATTTACCACCCGGCTATTTTTAGTCAACGAAATGAGAACGCCTCTGCTCAGTGAATATGTTAGTGAGTGAGAGGAATGGCAAGGAGGAATTTATGTAATACCATTTCTTGCCACAGATTCAAGTAAAACTTTACGTGCGCATAAACGATCAAATATATGTATCAAATGTGACAGCAATATTAAAATTTTACTTGAAGAAAAATATTTCTTGTTATTGTTTCAAACCGGACCGGCAACTGTCTTTCAGTTTGAACCTATGCTCCCAAGTAGAACCTCTTGGTCAAACATTCCTGCTAGATTTCTTTTTAATACCGTTACATAACAGGCCCTTCTGCCACCAAATGGCGGTAAACTGTCACCGTTTGTGAAATGCAGTGGGTGTAATGTGTGGTTGTGTGTGTGAGTTCTGAAAGGCCGTAATATAGTGTAAAGTGTGCATTATTTCTTTTCAGTGACCACCCATATCCCTTTTGTAGCGCTGAGGAAATCCTCTCGGGTTGATGTCTCCGATTCATTGCTTAACTCATAGCGTTGCCATCCACGACTGCACACACACACACACACACACACACACACTGTCTGCGCCATTGAAAAGTGAAAGGGCACTATTAGGGCAGCTCAGTGTGCGAACAACGGCTCATAGACACACTGCCGAGGCGCGATTGTACCTCACAGACAAGAGGTCTCTTTGTTGAATTGTAACTGAAAGCTGCGCATTTCAACCAGGTCCCTCACTGTCTCTGTCGCACTGATCTTTGTCCATCTTGGATAAACAAAAGAAAACAAAATATATTTGTAAGGCTGCAGTTAGCTTGCACTTTGCTAGCTCAGCTCAAATGAGCAGTTGGAAAGTTTTTGCTTCAAGCTTTGATTCCGTCAGTGATTACAGACTGTTGCGAATGAGGCCTTTTGATGTTTACATGGGAAGTGCCAAACACAGCGTTTTTGAGAAAGGGGAAAAAAATGCAAACACAATCATTTGCATTATTCTCTTCGTGTTCTCTATATATACAACTTACAAAGACAACTTGTAATGACAACTTACAATAAGTATTACTGTATATAGGAATATGGATGTAGAAATATCAATATTTCTTACCGGTTATATTCATACAGTACTATAATGATGTTTATATAAGGTTATAGTCATATACAGTAGAGTTATAAGGAAGGTGGTAGGAGTAACATCTTCCCAGTCCTTTTCGAAATGCAACTTCATTCATTCAAAATGCTTGACCACCGTATTATATGCATGCCAGATCAGTAGTTGGCAATGCCACTTGCTAAAGAAAGACTTGACCCATACACACCAACTCCTCGACTTCCCAGGTCTTGTTTGAAACACTTTTGAATCCCTTTGTCAAATACGTATGGGCTAATAATGGTCTGTATGAGTGAGTAATAACTGAAACAGTATGATTCTGTTGCGGTTTGCTATATCGTGATCAATGACATGATCAGATGAAACGTGCTTGTGTATTTTATGTGTGTTATGCAATTACAAATCAGTCTCTTCATTTTGTAGGTCCCATTTTGAATTGTTTCTCTCTTCTTTCTTTCAGATCATGCCCCCTAGATAGCAGCCTTGCCCTCTTCATCCCCCCCCTTGGTCCCTTCCTAAACATTTTGGCTTCAACTCCACCATCGCCACGTGTGCTACTGCAACCACCATGCCCCCTAGGAAGAGGACAAGGGCGGGCCTGGGGTTCCTGTGCTGCTTCGGCAGCAGTGAGCCCCCGGAGATCAACCTAAAGGACAGTGTGCCCTTACAGCTACTGGAATTCAGTGCCCCCATGCCGCCTGCTGAGGAGCTGCATGCTCGCTTCTCTGAGCTGGTGGTAAGTGTCTACCTACATATTTTAGTACTATTAGTACAAATCCTACTTCTATATTTTCGGAGGAGTAGTTTTGACATCATGTTTCCGGCCCGAAACATCTTAACCAGGGGTGCTAATAATTCTGGAGGGCACTGTATGTATATTATTGGATATACAATGGTTAGCAGCATGTGGCTCATTATCCCGGTTTAAGAAATAAATAGATTTAAGGGCAGTGTGGTCTTGATGTTAAGATAAAGCTACATCACATTTCCCCCATTTCACGAATAGGGAAGCTCATCCTCTCTTCTATATAAATCCCACACAGCATGGCCAACATCCCATCTTGAGTCCATATGAAGTTTAATGGTAGATGCCAGCCTTTTTACATGCCAGCCTTAATGAGTGTGCTGAGGGATCAGAACATAGCTGAAAGTGTTGAAGTCTGCTGTTGATGTTCGCTACAATGTAACCTGGCTTGGGAGAAACAAGTGCTTATGCTCTCCTTTGTTACGTTTGGTATCCTCCGGTCTTTGGGTCACTTTTCTACCAACCTTCATCTTCATCTTAGCTCCTTATTTATTGTCCCACTTCAAACTATCCCCATAGGCAAATATGTTTTCAGTGTCTTGGCTATGGGAGGGTTCCTGGCATACACGTCTCTTTGTCTTGGAATATGAAACTTCACCACCAACGGGTTAGATTACTGCAGCTGTCCAGATCAATTCAGGAGAATCTGACGAAAGGTATTTTTTATTTTTTTTACATTACAAAATATTTTATTGTTATTAAGGCAGAGATTTCCAAGAAGTGATTCTTCCAAACAGTGATTCTTCCAAACAGTGATTCTCAATGCTAGTGTATTGCAGCTTTTTTACATGTTCAGGTTTTTCCCTTCTTTTTTTTTCCCTTCCTTTCCATGTCTGTTCACTCAAACTCGAAATATTTTCAAACGACAATTACATTTGACAGAGAACGGTTTTGCTAGGATGTTCAGTCTGCTCTTCATATGGGAGCACTTGACTATGTCTCAAGAACTGTGGGATCGGCTGCTTATTTTGGAGTAAATATTGTATCTTCAGCTTCCGTTGATGAGCCTGACATAAATTCCTGAGAGCAACAGCCATCAAAACAGCGGGAGCCGTACTTGATTTCAAAACCTCTTGCAACGTTGTGACCCTTGAGAGAAAAAAAAGAGGATTTGGCTTTCTCCCATCTCATTGGATCAGGTCCCTTCCACATATTGTGAATAGATTCATCTTGAGATGGTTGGATTGGGTACTTTGTTTTTCACAGGATCAGATGTTCAGTTTTCGGGGTCATGTCTGTTTTGATCTGTTTTGCTTTTGAGAAGCATCACAGCATTGGATGTAGCAGTTACAACTTATGAGTTTTATTGCAAGAGAGATGTGAGGGCGGAGAAAAATATGTTCCTGTTAGACGATCACTCACGGTGACAACTTGATTCATGTTTGCTTAGACTGGGTGACCGATATACAAAATGCTTCTACCTGACAATGGGAATCGGAATAAGTCATTGGCCACCCCCCTCCATCTGCTTTCCTGATCCAACCACCTCCAACATGCTGACATATTTGACCATGTGTCTGACAACCTGTTCAACCAAAATATAGATTGACCAGTCACAATGGTATTTGTAACACAAGAAAACATGCTTTGTATCATGGGGCGAAATGAAGACTCATAATAGCGTGTTTCCCTGGTAACAGTGGTGGGGGATTATTGCTATGAAAGACTCTCTTGAGGAGGTGAATAAGACTGAATGGAGCCTCTGGAGTGGGAGCGACAGATCTGGGCCAACTGTAGGAGTAAACCACCTCCAGAGTCCTAACATCCATCATGGAATCTTCCACTGGGTCCAGAAACGGTGCAGTGCACGCTCAGCTCACACCACCAGTGGAAGGCGAGGGCTCGAGCTGCTCTGTCAATAATATTTTAGAAAGAACTATCCCCCAAAAATAAAGAAATAAATGACAGCACATTAAAATGGGAAGACACGGCAATTTGCTTTTGTGTCAAAGAATGACACATCATTCATCTACTGACTCAGGATGATAGTTCGAATGCAAAATAATTACATTGTTGGAGGGTGAATGCACATGTTTTTAGCCTAATAAATTCCAGGCAAAGATTCTAAACTAGGAGTCATCGATTTGGTGCTCGCGGGCAACAGGTAGCCCCCACCCAAGGACCACACGAGTAGTCTGCGGGCTGTTCTAAAAATAGCTCACTGGTCATGGGACATTGTGATCCTCTAGAAATGTTGTACAAGTGATCATTTGAAAATGAACAATGGCAAAGATTAATGAAAAAAAAAGTGTTGCCTATTGATATGTATCTGTTCCCTGTATAAAAATAAACTTGAACAGTCTCTTGTCGTCAACAAATATTAATAATTAAGAATAATATTAGAAGGTAACCTTGTTATTTCAGATGTATGAAACTCGCAGCCCTTCACATTAATCAGTCACCAAATAACTCTCACTTCCAAAAATGTTGGTGACCCCTGCACTAAACACATTACAATTTGAACCATGTGAATCTTTGGAAGGAAACAAGTTGACACGATGCACAGTGACATACAAGGTTCTTTCTCTGCCTAGCTCAAGGACATGTCCGCCACATTCAGGAAACATACTGACCCCGCACTTGTCATCACTGAATGTCATTTGCCATATTTTTGGTCTGAAGGGGCTTTCAAAAACCGTAACTCTTTCGTACCAAGCTAAAATCTTATGAACTGAGCTCTTACCCCTTGCACTTTATGAATGAAAAACTATTTTAAGTGACAAAGGCAACAATCTGAGTTGAGGGTTGACACAATCCAGATTGCAGATGATGACACCCATAGTCCACAGTTTCATGAAAATGCTTCCGGTGTTTGGTCAGAATGTTCTGTTTCTAAATTGCATTTCCTCTTGCTAAGCTAATTAAAAAGAACAGCTGGACATCAGTCAACATGTTGTGATTTTTTTTTTTTTTTTTTTTTTTTTTATAAGGTGGACCCACAATCTGGATGATTCCAACTAATACAATACAATACAATACATACTGATTAATTATCCCATTGCAAAATTATCGTCCTTTGTACAGAATCTAATGGAGGGATGTAAAAATCAGGATGCTGCATATTTATGAATATTGTGTAAATTTGGGTGCTCAGTGGCTCCGTAACACGTCCTATTTCAAGTTCTCAAGCTAAATCCAAAAGACTGCCACCGCTGCTCCATGCACACTCTTCTTCTCCTTTCGGCACATCCCTATTCAGGGGTCGCCACAGCGAGTCAGTAATTTCCATCCGCCCCTGTAAACCATCCTACCAACTCGCATGGTCGTCTTGGCAAAAGTTTTACGCCGGATGCCATTCCTGACGCAACCCTCCCCATTCCTCCGGGCTTGGGACCGGCACTGGGGAACAGTGCACCCCCAGGGGAGGGCACTGCCCCCCCAGCGGCTGGGTTGCTCCATGCACACTATAATTTATTATTTTAAGACTGGCTGATTTTGAATCATCTCAATCAGGAGGACCCTTGAGAAATGTTCCACTCAACACTTGCAATGAAATGGTAAAGAGTCTGTAATTATGTCATTTATTCATTTTCTCGTCAATTCAACTTCAACCACACAAACGCGCATACACACATTCATTCATGAAGTCATGGCCGAGGCTCAAGGACCCCTCAGCAAAGGCCTTCATAATATGCGCTCCTCCGCCCCTCGTTCTCTTTCAGTAGTAGTGACTTAGGCCATGATTCAAGTTTGCCGGGGCTTAAACAATAGCAGCCAAATCCCCAATATGACGTTACCATCAAACATCATTGCTCAATTATTTCAGTTTAAAATCAATGAATCAAGTTTTAAATCAATGAATAATCCATCCATCCAACCATTTTCCGATCCGCTTATCCTCACAAGGGTCGTGGGACGTGCTGGAGCCTATCCCAGCTGTCTCCAGGCAGTAGGCGGGGGACACTCTGAACCTGTTGCCAACCAATCGCAGGGCACACAGAGACAAACAACCATCTGCACTCACATTCACACATAGGGACAATTTAGACTCTAAATTGGGAATGTGGGAGGAAGCCGCAGTACCCTGAGAAAACCCACGCAGGCTCGGGGAGAACATGCCAACTCCACCTAGGGAGGCCGGAGCTGGAATTGAACCCGGTACCTCTGCACTGTGATGTCGACGCGCCAACCACTGGACCACCGGCCCACCCATAGCAGTCTAAAGATGCGAAATATAAAATAGTTATTAAAAAAACTCGCAAATTATGTCATAAAACGCACAGGGCCAGTGCTAGTTCTGGTAGGGCCACCACAACATGGCTCAGGGGGGCCTGTCTGGTGAGGTCGACGCGCCAACCACTGGACCACCGGCCCACCCACAGCAGTCTAAAGTTGCGAAATATAAAATAGCTATTAAAAAAAACTCGCAAATTATATCATAAAACGTACAGGGCCAGTGCTAGTTCTGGTAGGGCCACCACAACGTGGCTCAGGGTGGCCTGACTGACAGATGAGCTGTCTGAAACCAAACCAAATAACAAATAAGGCATCAGATTGACTCTGCCAATCATACTATTGCGTACCCTCAAAATCGCTTTACATTGTTCTGCCCTTGTTTTGTTTCCTTTAACTGTTTGACTTCTATAAGTGAGCGCCTCATTCTTTCTTGTTATATTTTTGTAGTGTTGGAGAGTTTTGATCCAAACAGACATGGCATTGGTCCAGCTTTCTCCTGTCACGTTATGTAAACTGTCTGATAAGGAAACTGGATCCACTATATTTAGTTTTCAATCAGCGGGACGTGATTGATATAAGCAGTGGCTTATTTCATGTATGGCCTTAGTCCAGCACACTTTCCTTTTGTCCTTTCTTCCAACATGCATTTCCAGTTGCTTGTCTGGCTTTTCAACTCCAAAGCTTTAACTCATCGTTTTAATGTTAGTAAAATAAGTGAAACCATATTGACTAAGTGGTCAAGCCCTGCTTGGACTGTTTCAAAGATGCATGAGGCGAGCACTGACGAGATGTTAGAGGATTCAAAGAAAGACCGGATACTTGGTCTCTTCTTTGAGGCGCTACAAGACGTAAGCTTCGTGTGCTTGCAAAGTCTAAGATATTTTGTATAATAAATTTACACATGTCTCATAATATATACATGTGTTTTTAAAGTTACATTTGCGTAGTTTAACTTTAAAGCAAGGTCTTAGATGTAGAATTAAATAATTAATTTCCAGCAGTGACAACTTCCTGTAATTTTCCCCTGAAGCCTAATATGACCTCCTTTTATCTGCCCTGTTTTTTTTTTAGTTTTTTTTATTTTTTATTTTTATCGGGCTTCCTGTCTTGCGCAGGATGGCTGCAGGGCCTACTGTAATTCGTCCATGGTACCCAGTGTAAAACTTGATTCAACCCACCTTTTAAATAATGGTTAATAGAGGCTCCCTCCCAGCAGGATGTCATTCTTGGACCACACAATTCCTGTTTAGGTGGAGTCTGACACCTTCAAAGTTGGTGGTCCCACAATAATAAAACCACTCCCTTTTACATCCCGCATTCACACTCAGTCATCCTCCTCTTTTCCTGTCGACATATTTTTTCAGACATTTTATGTACTTTGTCACCTTCAGCATTTCCACCACAGTTAACACCTCTCGACTCCCACGTTTTGTCTCTGTGGCCTCCATTATCATGAGGTTTAGTTGATTAAAAAAAAAGAGAGAGAGAGAGAGAGAGAGACAGAGAGAGAGAGAGAGAGAGAGAGAGAGAGAGAGAGAGACTTAATATTATTTAGCATAGTTTTACTTCCCAAGTTTCCCTGCATTTTACAGGGATCCTTATGCTCTTCTCTTCTGCGATGTGCAGTTGATGAATCTTTCATAAACATATCCAGCAGACATGCATCGTCTCCTTGCCGTCATTTTTGTGTCGTTTTATATATATATATATAGATAGATAGATAGATAGATAGATATATTATAGGATTAGCCTTGATATGTTCATGTTAAGGTGGCCGACTGGTTAGCACGTCTGCCTCACGGGACAGAGGTCTTGTGTTCAATTTTGGCTTCCGGCCATCCTGTGTGCAGTTTTATGTCTAAACACACACACACACACACACACACACACACACACACTTGTATATGGTACTCTGGTTTCCTCCGACAAAACATGCATGGTAGGTTGACCCAGCACTCCAAATTGTTCCTAGCTGTAATTGTGAGCAACCAGTTCAGGGTGTACCCCACCTACTGCCCATAGATAAGCTCTAGGATGCCTGTGACCCTCATAAGGATAAGCGGCTTGGATAATGCATGGATGGATCGATGCATGTTCATGTTAATAATCCTCAATGGCTTTACTGTGCATTATACAGCATCACTACTTGGCTGTAATCATGCATGACCGTTGAATACTGATTTTAATAATAATAATGCATCCGTTTATTATAACGCTTTTTGGGGGGGTGGAGCACTGAAAGACGCCTCACAGTTTTAGTTACCGGTATGTAATGAAAATGTCTGTTTTTTTTTTCTTTTTTGCTTCATTGTCATCACTTGTCAAATATTCTTGTCTAGGGTGTAGCGGTTATACAGTGCATGAGTCTTGTTTCACCCCACATTAGTAATGTCCGCCTATTCTAACACCAGTGACCTTAATATTACGCCTGTTCACGTCTCAGCCACGAGCCCCCGTGTGCTCTCTGGACTTTGCCGCCACTGACTCAATTCTTTTTTTCATTTTGTCTCAGTATTCATTATAATTCAGCACATTTGAGAGGCCGACTGGCATTGTGAAACAGGAAATTGAATGATCTGGCCTGTCCGTCAGTCTGCTGCACATATGGTACACCGTGACACCCGTTTTAATTTGTAACATTACCGTACTCGATAGGCTGTTTGAAAATATGAAAGAAGGTCTCAGTAGCCTAAGGTATGTATTTTCCCCTTTTGAGCAACAGGTGTAACAATATTAGTTTTGGTTTATATGAATTCCCAACTGGAGTATGTTAGCGGAGATGTACGGGGGCACGGTTTTTGCACAGCCAAGGTGGAATGTGATTTGGTTTGTTTGGAATTTGGTGTGTTTAAGGATTGAATGTTTTAGGGTATTATTATAAGGTCGTAAGGCAAGGTCATGTGATAGGAACATAGGGACACGTTTTGAACATGAAGTGAGGTGGAGGTAGAAGAAAAGGATGGACTAATGCATAACGGGGAAAAAGAAAAATCTTTTGTGACCAAAGATTCCTCCACCCACCCAATTTCCACATCATCTCTGCTCTACGTTCTCGCGTTTAGATGAAATCCAACACAACTTGTGTGCGTATCCTCTAGTAATAGCATTCTGTAACGGTAGAGTGTCAACAAAATGTTTACAGTGACATCAAAATGGAGCATTTCATTTCTTGTCTTTATCCATTTTTTCATGGTTTGATAGCGAGAAACGTGAGAATGAAGTAATATTCTTAACGTACTGAAAAATGTGATTGCTGTTTAGAGGATTCATTAGCCCTGAAGGCTTGCCCTGCTGCTCCCCTTCTTTTTTTTCTTCTCTTGCTACTCTGCAATTTAAGCCACTCAGTCATTTAAGTGTTACGTAAAACCCTAAAGTAAACATAAACATCCCATAAACTGTAGAATCCTGCATTCCGTACACCCTTCTTTCATAATACCGTATCTTTTCCATTTCGGACATTCAATTGAGAGGCAGAGTGCTGGGCAGAGTGAAGTAGCCGGAGATCCACTGTTGGGCTCTATTCCCATCTGGTTCGAATCCAAGGGTCTTATTCTCAGAGATTTCCCCAGAAGCTCTCAGTATCAGGTCTTCTAATTAGGTGCAGCTTGGACAGCAGGGCTTTGACCCAATGAAAAGGCGAGAGGCCTGCCTGCATAGTAGGGCTGTCACAAACAAATTTCTGTTGAATCGATTATCTTATCGATTATTTCATCAATTAATCGAATTCGACACTCTCTTCAGCAAACACCCTCCCCTGCGCACGCAAGTACTGCCCACTTGGCAATTTTATAAATTTTTTTTTCAGTAAAATGTTTGTCACTGATAAGCACACATCTATAAATAACACTTAATTCTGCCAAGCTGATGATTATACACTGTTCTCACTTAAAAGTAAACAAGATTTTCCTCGGAATTTTCATATAAGCCAAGCTGTTGCGCTCTCTCTCTGGCCAGGTCAAGTGCCTCTGCTCCGATGGACCGCAGTGGATGCGAGGACTTAAAAAAACATTTAGAAACCCATTAAAAAAAAAATGCAATAAAATACAATTAAAGATCCGGTCGCTACTGTCACGCTCTTTTATTTTTCATTCACAGTTCCCACAATAATCACATTACTTTACACTCGCACTCTTCACTGCTCAGCGCCTAGCGATGAGGGATAGACAGGAAGCTATGGTAAGCTAATTAAAGCTTTAACATGTACTGAACGGTCACGACAATTCAGTGGAATATGCTTGGCCCCCCGTAAAATAGTGTTGGGGCGTAGTGACGAAGATTACGTTTGTTCAGTGTTAAAATACCATTTAAAGCTGTGTTATGCTACCTCAAGCAGCCACCAAAGCAGCCACTTGCTCATCATCACGCACGTCACATTCCCATGTTGAAGGCGCCGAGCTCTGCCACCTCCGCTTTGCAGCAGTAGATAAAACCATATTTTTCCCCCCTTTCAGTCTAAAGCGATCACAAATACTTCATCTTCATAAAAATAGGTTGCTGGAAGAGAGCGTCTGCAGCTACAAATATCCATACCAAAACACAAAAGTGGCCAATTGTTGCTTCCAGGTGCCTCAAATATGTTTTATAAAATTATGAAAAACAGTTTTGAGGCATCAGTTTTTTGTTTCAACCAATAACCGAGTTGGTTCACTTTTTTTCCCAGCCCTACTTCAGAGATAAGCTAACTTCTCAGACTTGATTCCTTAGTCGGAGCATGTGGGGAGTCGTTTGTGGTTTAAATTAAAATCAGTAAATATTGAGGGAAGGGAGGATCTGTACTTTGACTCGATTGTAGCAGGCAATCTTCGGGTTAGAGTCACAGTTGATAAGTGAAATAATGCCATTGGGATGAAAAAGGCTTAGACCTATGATTCTAAAGCTCCTTTGTGGTTTCAGTCTGTATAACATGTCCTTCAAGTTCACCCCATTCAGGTTTTCCTTTTTATGTTCTTCAAAACTCACGATAATTAGTTCTGGTATTGAAAGCACTGGATGAAAGATGATGTCACTCTTGAACGTGTCAGGCTTGCAATGTGCACCTCACCCACCCCCCATCCAGCTCAATGGATTAAAAAAAAAAACCAAAACTTGTGAAGCTACTGGTTTGGCTTCAACGGGCCCCCCACCCTGGCACTGTTGGCCATTTTTACTCTTGGAGGGGGAGCTTGGGGTCGCGGTACTTCTGGTTGACGTCATGGTGCCAAGACCATTATGATGAGATTAGTTTCAAGCTTGAGCACAAAGCCCTTCTTCTAAAGCGTCTCATCATATCCTCTGTGTTTTTGTTGTCCAGCAGTTTTATTTTATTCATTGCATTCTACTTTGTCCATTAAAGCATTTGGGGGTGGGGGGTTAGCTACGTACCCCCTCTCAAAACTTTACTTTTCCTCTCTGGCAAGCATGAACTCATTTCCTGGGTTCATATGCATTTCAAAAGGAGCAGGAGGCTCCTTGTACATGGCAAAGGAATTGAGCAGAGCAACAGAGTGAAAGTAAATAGTCTTCTGTGGACTGGGGAGGATTGGACACTCAAATGCCACCCTGCGAATTTGGTGCCCACCGCTATTGCTAAATTGAATAATCGGTTAGCTGATTTGAATGCTTGTTTCTCATCATTGAGTGAGTGCATTTACTCTATAAGTGGATTTACCAGAATTGTATCAATAACAAGTTGCCATACATGCTATAAGTTTGTACAATGGTTCAACACATGAATGTTTCCCTTCTTGCAGGACGAGTTGGATTTGACTGATAAGAATCGGGAGGCCATGTTCGCTTTGCCAGATGAGAAGAAATGGCAGATCTATTGCAGTAAAAAGAAGGTAAGTTCAATGACCTTTCTTGTCTCGAATCTCTGGCTGTCCCTCTGTAGACTGACGGGCCTACTCCCACAATGCCTCTCTGTTAGTGATGAATGTTATTGAAGGGCAGCTTTCACTCGAGCCAGTTTTAAATCAGCTCAGCGACACAGTCAGGCCCAAATTCAACTTCTCATTTCTGCTTTGGCATAAACATTGTCGCTCTATGACGTCCACAAGCAAGTACTTAACGCACAAGATTTCCCATCTTGTAAATATTGTACGTGGAAAACATTAGGTACACGAGTGCATGTCCTATCTCAGATATGCTGCTCTAACATAGTCAACATACCACAAGCACCACTTGAAAGTTCTGGTTAGCCCTCTATTTCACCCCGCTTCTTCTTGCCAAAACATTTCCCATTTGCTTAATATCCCCTTCCCAAAAACTCCAGCCTCACTTTGTGGTCAAAGTTTCAGCAGGAAATGACATTGCGCTTGAAAAAAAGTAATTCATCTCCTCATTTTCTCTCAAGAGCAAATTGAATTGATTGATCTTAAACCCTCCCTTGTGCCTCTTTTGGTCATTTAGCAAAGGTTTTTGTCTCGGAAGTAGAAAGGCGATCAATCCCCTCCTTCCTCCATCTAAAGCTTGAAGGCTTAGCTGATCTGATGGGGAAAGAGTAAACACATGATAGTTTGTGGGTGGGTAGGTGCAGGGCAGCGTTGAGTTACTAACACGAAGAAACCCATTTGTGGCCTGTTCAGGTCTCGTGGTGGAGGTTGCATGGAATTTGTTGCATTAATCATTTAGTAGGCACACAATTTCTTGGCAAACATGCATTTTTTAATTCATTATTATTAGTTTCTAAATATATTCTGACGTTATGGAACAAAATAGCGCACGTCACATAAAGTTTGGGTGCTGGGAGGACCAACATTTCTAATGTAGGTCACGAGCAAAAAACGTTTCCTACCCGCTGGTTACAAGAGATGTTGGGGCAAGAATGCACAGAATATTACACTAAATGGCACAGTGTTTTTTTTTTTCCCCCACTGCAAAACTCACAAATTCAGTAGTACTGCAGTAATTCAGTTCTCTGAAACAACTACACACATCTACAATAAATGCTTTGAATTAAAACAATTTCCATAATTTACAGAGTTTCCTCTGTTAAGGCTAAAGGTGAACCCCCCAAAAAAACAACTGTGTGTCCAGGTCAGAAAGCAAAGAGCCAATGCGGGGTTGCCCATGTCAGAAAGCTGGAAGAAGAGTTGAACAAATACTTCATTCATTGATGGTAGCAATATTGGATAATACCTCACTTTGTCTGTATGTGCTCATGCAGCCAGGAGTCAGTGTATGCTGCCTGCAAAGTTTCACAAATTTGTTGAGTACTGCAAATTTATAGGTTGTTTCGCCAAGCAGACAACACAGTAGTGCCCTGTCTTCTGTGGAATTACAGCATGTTGGTGATTTGAACATCGAGCCCGTAAAATGTTGCTCTGTGGTTCCTGTCCGGGACAAACACTAGTCCCCTTGTTTTCCTCTGCTTTGCGACCTTGTCTCTTGTTGTGGTTGAATAACACAGTGACCGATGGATTTTTTTTTTTTTTTCCACCTGCAAAGCAAACTACTAGCTAATGTAGCTACCCCTGAAGGAATGCCAGTTGTGTTTCGCTGCCATCAAGTTAAAAAACATTTGTTCCAAAACTGGACATTTATATTTTTTTAATAGGAACACACCAAATAAAGTTTTTTTTTGTGGCTTCATCGAACAATTTAGGACCTAACATTATTTTGCATTCACGTTCATAATTCACGGGAGCTTGACTTTTCAATGGTTTCCCAAAGTGTAGCAGTGAAGTCATAAATCTTTCAATATAGCATTAGCATGTTTCTCAAGATCGATAATTCTCGAAGTTCTTGCACAGAAATACAGATTATCTCCTTTTAACTGTATAACATGAAAACAAGAAGGCAGTCTTGATATAACAAACATGACAAGGTATAATATGACAAATAGTTGCAGTGCATAAAGACTTCAAGAAATATTTAACCGACACATAATGTCAGTATAAGAAGAAGTTAATACGAATCAAGTTTAAAAATAAATCACTCTATATGAACCTTGATAACATTTGGCGACACATACAATGATGCTGTAATAATAATAATAATAATCATAATAATAATAATAATAATAATACATTTTATTTGTGGGCTGCAGTCTTACCGCTTTCAGTGTTGGTCCACTTAGCTGGCCTAGCTCCCATTCTTTATATCTTTAAACAGCATTGTGAGACTGTTTGCTGTTTTGGAATCAGTGTTCCAAAACATCTTCCATATACGAACACACAAATGAAACATTTTAATGCTTGTTAATTTGAGCCACTGTGAGCTATACTTACAGTAAGTCGAGTGTGATGTCACATTGATTGTTGCCTTGTCGCACATGAGAGACATCTTTTTCTTATTTTCTTAAAATAATAGTTGAATTTGGGCCTGTACAACTTTCTGTTCTGATGTGTAATAAAATAGTGATACAAGCAAACATCCATTTGTTATTATAACAAACATGACTCATTACTCTTTGCCAAGGTACTACTGCCCCTGCTTGAAACATTAGAGTAAGCCCTGATCAGTAAAATATCTTATAGCATTTCAATCACTAAAATATCAATGTCAAAGATGATTACTCACACAATTAGATACTTCCCCTTTTTTGAAACTATACATGGTATAATTGATTCCGGAGTTCAGTGCTCAACCTGCTGCGAACAAATATTATTCCTTCATCTGATACTTTCTGCGCTCTTTTAGTGATTCTTGTAATCAGTCGTGTAAATTAGCCAAAATATGGACTCTGTGTACCATGACTAACTACTATAGAACATCTTGTCAAGGCACACACACACACACACACACACACACACACACACACACACACACACACACACGGCGTGGCGATTGTTAAAATAAAACCAATATGGGACAATGTCATTGCGGTCTGTGGGACCGGATGATCTACAACACTGTTTAGTTTTTTTAACTCATGACTGCTTGTATTGCACTTGCGCGTAGCTTACCAGTAAGTAGGTTCTCAATGCCACTTGGCTGTTGCTGTCAAAGACGGACAGATTGGGCTGGCTGGCCTGTAACAACAGAATGATGACTTACGGACTTACATGCCCACCACTGGGTATACGTGTGTGCTGTGAAACACAACGGGAATGTTTCTGCCTCATTCCTGATAGTAAGTGTATGCGGGAGTATTTTGGGTTGATTCATTTGCATCCACAATCCAGGAGCCCCTGTGTATAAATAATTGTTCCTGAGAATCATTCCGTGCTTGGAGCCAAACAGCATTATGCAATTCTCATTATCAGTGCTGTTTCATAATATGTAACTATTAAGACTTATCTTTTTATATTTAAATATATATATATATATATATATATATATATATATGTGTGTGTGTGTGTGTGTGTATCCCCGCGACCCTAGTGAGGATCAAGCGGTTCATTTCCCACATGCATGCTATACCTCTCTATTAGTGTGAACCCAGTCAAAGACGTGCGTGAGACTGCGCTTATGATTATACTTTTGGGATGCTGGTAACTTGTAAGAAATGATGAGTGTTACATAGTTTCCAAGAACTCAATATCCTGTCAATTTCCTCTCTTTTTAGGTTAGGTTTTTATGTCCTAGCTCTTGTAGATAAATATCCCCCATCAAGATTTTGACTGATGTGAATGTTGGCGAGGACAAATTTTCCTCAATGCCTGTCAGGAACATATTATAGTGGCAGATGGAGCAGAGAATTTGCAAAATTTTATCCTGAAATGCCTCAATGTATTACCAAAGTGCTGTTGTAAGCTGCCTGCTTGTGACCACGACACGCAAAGTTTAGAATACAATATTTTGAGATCCAAGATATTTTGGACAATTCTTTGCTCCTTACCTCATGTGAACAGTTTAGGGAAGAGGTCCTTTCCTGTTTCAGCATAACTATGGCTCCATGTACAAAGCAAGGTCCACAAAGGCATGGTAGAATTAGTTATGTGTGGAAAAACATGGATGCTTCACCTCAGCACCTTTTCATCAGCGATTAGGCAGAGAGCAGTTTCAACACATCAAAGTCTGCATTCGCTAAAAGAGACATATTGTGAACCCCCCCCCCCACGATGAAAACAATTGACAGGTGTCTAATAAGACAGGAATGCCATTCTTTGGTTTGGATAGGCATTTCTGTCTCTTGCAAATGGAGAGTGTGGCTGTTGTTACCATGACAACAGGGATCAGTGCTAGGAAGGAACGTCTGCTCAGCACTTGTGTCACGATTTTCTCCCAGTGATTGTTCAAAACAACAACAAGAAGCAACAAAAATGTTTTTTGTGTTTTTATTGAACAATTTTGGAGACTGTGTGACTCCTCAAAGATGAACTTGTTGTGTTTATGTAATAATACGATAAGATGGTTCAACATTTATTTGGTTTCACCGTCATAACGGTCCTCTGAGGGAAGCCATAATTGCGACAAAAATGAGTTTGACGCGCATGCTCGAACAGGGAGATGCTCACCCTGCAACTGAATGGTGCGTGCCCAAAGCCACCACTGGCTGAGTTAACCATACGGGCCTATGTTGTAATTCACTCCAGAGCTACATATATGATTTGTGGAAATGAAAGAAATAAATTAAAATTTAAATAAAACAACAGGAATCCATCCATCGATCCATCCTAATTTGACTATGGAACACAGACAAAAGGCCACAACCCCTGTTTAGAAGTTGGCAACTTGGCAAACAATGGATGGTAAGCAAGACCATCCTCGCTTCATTCAACACCTTGGAGTTGTGACGCATCTAACTTTTGAAGCAGTATCATGCAATGCCCCTATGTCAATTGTATTTGGTCTTAGGCTTTAGTGTACACTAACAACAACGATAATAATAATAATAACAACAGCAAGAATACACACACACACACACACACACACACACACACACACACACGCCCTTTTCTCTTCTTCTTACCCTACATGCCTCATGGTCGACTTGGGAGCAGTCCACGGTTAACCAGGCGATCGCGGTTGACTGGTTGGGCACTCCTGCTCTATAACACATAATGTTTTGAACACAATATTCCATAAATTATAGCACTTAGTCTTGATACTGGAACTGCGTGAGTAAATTGCATAAAATTAAATTAAGACCTTTCAGGCAAGACCAAGGCCGCTGCGTTGTTAATCTCAACTTTAGGATCTGTCTGGCAATGCGTGCGGAGCACGTCAGCAGTTTGAATGGCGTCTATTGTATTTGAACAATTTACACAGAATTTCAGATACAAAAACTTGGCAGAGTGAAGTGCAGATCAGAATGGTAGAGATGATATCACTCTGGATTGTGTGAATGTATTTCACAAAGCAGTAGCTTTGCTGCTTCTGTAGTCAACAACGGGGAGTTGTGCGCATCATGCAGAGAAGAGTAACAGAACAGTTGAACTCTACATTGCTGCTGCAGCAATGCTCACACACAGGGTGCATGAAAAACAATCATTACGATGCCAATGCATTAGTTGTAAAAAAAAAACAAAAAACATAATGAACCTGTCAAATAAAGCCACAATATTCAGTTTACTGCCATATTTTCTTTTTTGTAGTTGCATTCATTTTGTCACACTGTATGCTCACTTTAAAAATAAATATATAGCATGAGCTATTTATTTATTTATTCATTTATTCATTCATTCATTCATTTATTCATTCCCAAGTGAGACTCAAGTGGGATTTTGGATTTCTCAGGTTTTACTGACACGAACAACAGTGTTCTCCCAATGTTACTAGCTTAGGCTAAGCAAGACCAGATGTAAATGAAGAAAAGGTCTCTGGTTTTCTCATGGCATCACAAAAGCTACAATTGGCCAGGACAAACTGATCTCATACAAAGCTGTTTGAAAAAAAATCCTTAAAACGATAATGTTTTAGCCTGACATTCTTGTGACTTAGATATCATGCTCTTGGCTGGTTCATTCATTTGTGCTTGTGCTTGCATGTGTTACATGTGTGCGCGCATCCGTGTGTGGACATACTTGCGTATGCTCATGTGTAACACTGTTATTATGATTATTACTTTTAAAACTATTCCCTCGCAAGAATAATCCATTGTCTTCTGTAAAGCAGAAAGTTTGGCAGCGTTTGACACGAGTGTCAAATAATTTGTAACTAAATTATTTTTCACAAGTCTAACCTTGTTCAAGTAGACAACACCAAAATCCTAAAAGTTACCAATGCCCAACTGATAGCAGTAAATATCTCAGTCTTAACCAGATTTGTGGGCATGTTCGGCTGTCTGGTTCTAGCACACAACAATCATCAGTCCAAGGTGGAACTTTATGCGATGATGTGATTGATTTGCCTTTTCCTTTCAGTCTGGAAATGTATAAATCAATGTTTGACTTTTATGTATTTGTCCCTGGACAGGAACAAGAGGACCCGAACAAGCTGGCTACAAGCTGGCCTGACTACTACATTGACCGAATCAACTCCATGGCTGCTGTGAGTCTGACCTCTTGTCAATAGAATTCCTAAATACATTATATTCCTGAGAAATCCAAGCTGTCCAAATGCATCTTCAGTTTGCTCCATGTCTAAGTATGGGACTAAGAGGTTACTATTTCCTTGGGGGGGGATGATGCCCCTGCCGACTGCATGACCAAATTCCATCAGTGGGACCCCAGCATTCTCCCACACTGTGATGACAAACAGGCCAGTTTTACATGCAACAGTCAGTGGGAATGGCTGTCAGAGACATGGAGAGAGGCCAAGATGGAACTGCTCATTACTTCGAGCCGGGTTTTTTGGGGTGTGTG